ATTGCAGAGGCTACACAAGAAGCCTAGTTCACTGGGTACGCTGTAGCCCCATTTTAGGTATTCCAATCAGTCATAGGCAGAAGACGGACTTACAAGCCTTCTAGTGTGATGTTTCTGACTATTCCTTTCTCTCCCTCTCCAGTGTCTACTCTGTGCTGCCCGGCCAGGGAAGCGCCGGAAGTCCCCCTGAATAGGGTTTTGAGGAGCAGCTTGTGAGCTTGAACTGTGACCTTGCAGTCTAGAGCATTAACCCACACAACGCCATACCAGGACTGATTGTTGTTATTGTTACGTGCCATAGAGTCGGTTCCGACTCATAGTGACCCTGCACAGGGTTTCCAAGGCTGTAAATCTGTACGAGAGCAGAAAGCCTCATCTTTGTCCTGTGGAACAGCTGGTAGTTTCGAACTGCTGACTGTGAGACTGGTAGCCCGATTCGTAACCACTACGCTACCAGAACTGATAGGAGATGTGTACTTATTTTAAGGAACTGGCTCACATTAAGTGTGGGGACTGGCAGGTCTGAAGTTCACAGGGCAGAGCAGCAGGCTGCAAACTCAGACAGGAGCTGGTGTTGCAGTCTTGATTCTGAAATCCATAGGGGCGTCTGGAAAGGCACTGCTGCTATAGTCTTGTGGCTAAATATATTTATCTCTGGGAAACCTGGTGGTACTGTGTGTTGGGCGTTAGACTGCTAAGGTGGTGGTTCAAACTCACCAGTCTCTCCATGAAAGAAAGCCGAGGCTATCTGCACTTATGAAGATTTTCAGTCTCAGAAACTCTATGTAGGGTTGTTATGACACAATACTAGCAGGTTTGAATTTTGGTTTTGGGAAACCTTAAGGCCTTCCAACTGACTAGATGAGCACTTCCACATTGTTGTTTTGGTTAAGTGCTGTCAAATAAGTTTCAACTCAAAGCAACACTGTATAGGGTTTCCGAGGAGTGGCTAGTGGGGTTCAATCGCTGACTTTTTGGTTAGCAGTGCAGTATTATCCTACAGTGCCACACTTTTCAGACTATGGACAGTTATTTCCTTTAAGAAAAGTCAACGGACTACAGCGTTTAACCACATTTACAAAATACCTTCATGGCAACACCCAGGTTCGTATTTGACTAAATAACTGGGCTAGTCAAGTTGGCACTTTAAATGAACCACCACACCTCCTGAGAGAAGCTATTCCTAGCCATCATATCTTACACAGGTCCTTTGTCACATCATTCTATTCAGAATCCTCAAAGTATTTACCAGCACCTTCAACTAATGTTCGGTGTTATCTGTTTTCTGCTTTCTTGTTGGATGTCTATATTCTTTAACTAGAATATATGTGACAAGAGATTGTATCTACAACATTCTCCACAGTGTCCCTAGCATTTAGAATCACACCAGGAAACCAGTAGTCTCTCAACAAACATTTTGAATGAGTGAGTATGAGATGACTAATTATGGTTAGAGATATTTTCACCTGTAACTCAGAAACCTGTACTTCGGTAAAAGTGTATAGCTTATTATTAATATTTTGAAAAGCTGTGTGCCAAACCTAACAATATCTCTGATGGGAAGTTTTCTAAAATGTGCAATTGTTGCTGTAATTCTCCTATCATTTTTCACAGGTTTCAAAATGTGTCATAGAGTATTATTGGGCCAAGGACCATACAGGCCACCAGATGGAAGAGAATGATTTATTTCCCTGATTGCAGAATTCTGAAGAAAGCAAGCCAGTTCTTATCTCTGAGCCTACAGAATACAAAAGATAAAAGGGACCTTTCCATCTAGTCCAGATTCGTTTTTAATTTAAAAACCCACCAATGACATGGCTATCTGACCTTGACTTTAATATTTCTAGTGATGAGGCACTCACTATTTTTTAACATAACCTGTCTTGCAATTGGATAGATTTTGATGAGCAAGGTTTTCCTTCTATTGATTCAAAATTTCCTTCCTGTAATTTCTGGCCTTTGGAGCAACAAAGAAAAAGTCTAGTTCCTGTGCTGAATTATGAACTTTCAAATGCTTAAAGACATGTAAAATAGTCCATGAGTTTTCTCTACTTCTGAATAAATATCCCAAATACCTACAGTTATTTCTCACTTGTCTCTCCTTCTAGAACTCTCATCTTCCTAGTGGATGATCTCTTGACACAGTGCTATTAGGAAGCATATGTTCTCCAGGGCAAAGTGGAATTAAGTCTTATTTTTAATTATGACTTTAATTGTACATGTCCCATGAAGCTACTAAATGATCCACTTTTGTAAGTCAACTACGCATATAATTATGCACTGCAGCATTGCCAATACCAGCATCTGTTATTAATTGTAAAATGCAAACACAGATTCATTTGATATAATGAACCCTTATCTCATCAGAAGTCTGTGTCTAAAGAACATATCATACTAACAAAGTCAGATGACGATTGAAGGACTTTTGATGGGCGTACGAAACATTTTAAAACTGCAACTTGGGCCATCAATTTCCATATGCCCATTAGTGTGGCCTGTTTCTGCTTTAACATTCATGGAACAAGAAATCATAAGAACAAGATTCCAGAAGAATTCCATTATAAAGTGCTAAAGGATAAACACTGGACTGCTAACCACAACGTTGGCAGTTCAAACTCACCAGCCGTTCCTCAGAAACCCTATACAGAGTCACTATGAGTCAGTACCAACTCAACAGTACTTAACAACAACACTGTTGTTATTTTTGTTGTTGTTAAATGTGATCAAGTTGGTTCCAACCCATAGCGACCCTGAATAGGGTTTCCAGAGAGTGGGTGCTCAGTGATGGATTTTAATCCACTGACTATAAAATGTCATTACATTGTTGTTGTTGTTGTTAAGTGCCATCAAGTCGGTTCCAACCCATAGTGACCCTAGATCCCTAAAATTAACATCACTAATCATCAGCCAAAGTGAGGAACTGAAGAATGTGGTGTGACAGCATTTTCTCTGGAGGGTCAGTTTTGTTGTGTTTTCATATATGTTTGAGGATATATTTGTTGCTGTTGCTGTTAGGTGCCATTGAGTTGGTACAGACTCATAACAACCCTCTGTACAACCAGGAAACATTGCCTGGTCCCGTGCCAACCTCACAATCATCGCTATGCTGGAGCCCATTGCTGTCGCCACTGTGCCAATCCATCTTGTTGGGGGTCTTCCTCTTTTTCTCAAACCCTCCACTTTACCAAACATGATATCCTTTTTCAGGGACTGGTCCCTCCTGACAATATGTCTGAAGTATGAGAGACAAAGTCTGTCCATCTTGGCTTCCAAGGAGCATTCTGACTGTACTTCCAACATAGATCTGTTTGTTCTTTTGGCAATCCATGGTACTTAATATCCTCCTCTAACACCATAAGTCAAATGCATCACTTCTTCTACGGTCTTCCTTATTCACTGTCTACCTTTCACATGCATATGAGGCTATTGAAAATACCATGGCTTGCATAAGGCATACCTTAATCTCAAACTGACACCTTGGGTCTCCAACACTTTAAAGAGGCCTTGTACAGCAGATTTGCCTAATGTAATATACGCCATTTACTTTCTCGACTTTTGCTTCCATCAGTGTTGATGGTTGATCCTAAGGATACATGTTGTTGTTAAGTGCCGTCAAGTTGGTTCCAACTCATAGACACCCTGTAAAGGGTTTCTGAGGAGTGGCTGGTGAGCTTGACTGCCAACCTTGAGGTTCAAACCAACCTTGCAGTCCAGCACCTTAACCTCAGTGCCACACCAGGACTCCTGAGGCTATAAGGAGGTCCTAAAATACATATTTTGCCCATGAACTCCAAACCCTGCTTCTGGACTACCCAAGGTAAACTACATACTCTGCATGTGTCTGTTTATAAAGGAAGTGACAACAGAAATTGGTCTAGATAAAAACATTTAAAATCCAATTAAGAAGCTATTCAATTCTAAAACATGGTCTTTTCTGCTTTTTTATTAAATTGTGATTAATGAGTGTTCAGATTTCTATATGGATTTTTTTGGCTTTAAACTACTTCATCACATATCAGATAAAATTGTTAAGGGCCTTTACATTTAGATGGAAAAGGGCAAATTTCAGTGGCATTATGTTGATTCTTTACTTCAAAGTTTAAAGGCAACTTTTATTGGTGACAAGTTACCCCACCCGGCCTTACCTCCTGGTACAGGTCACTGAGGTCTTCCTGGTGGGCTTGTTTGGAACATCCTGGGAATTCCCTAACACAACAGGAATCTGGTGGCCAGTCCATCTCTGTCATTTCCAGCCAATCAGTGAAATACACGACTCCACAGCACTTAAACTGCAAATGAATGACTGGTCAGGCTCATTCTACTATAAAAAATTGTTTTCTTAACTTACAGAAGATTAAAAGTTAGATTCATTTATTTATTTTGCCCAGTGCTAACCCCACTTCTGTCATCATTTAATAGAATATGTATGCGCTATGATGCTGAATGAGAGGCTAGCCATTCCACAATGGAGCAGTCTGAAGAGTAATGCCCATTAACACATAAAACATTCTCTACCTGTGAAATCCTCTACAAGTGACCATACTCAGCAACAGATTTAATAACTATTAACAGAAACAAGTCACTGAAATGCTGTCTTCATCATTAAAGTCCTAGACACTAAAGAGTAGTGCTCAGTCTATTTATCTGTCACCTGATCTGTTACTGTCGAGTCAATTCCAATTCATAGCGAGCCCATAGGCAGAACTGCCGCATACAGTTCCCAAGGTTGTCAGTCTTTATGAAAGTAGGCCTTGGCATCTTTCTCCCATGGAGCAGCTGGTAGATTTGAACTCCTGATATTTAGCTTCACAGGCAAGCTCTTAAAACTCTGCTCTGCTACGGCTCCATATATCACCTATTTACTGGTTTAATTGCTCAAAAAAATTAAAATATTATACTAAAAGTTTCTAATATCTCTGTAAAAGGATTTCCCAAGCAAAGCCTGTATCACAGGATTCATTAACTAACTTGGATTCATTAACCAGTAAAATATGCAAACACATTTGAGATATCAATATAGATTTGGTGAACTAACTTTTATTCAACCAAGTAAGAGTCTTAAAATAAACTATTATATCACCATAATCTCCGGAGGAAGGATGTTTTTTAGCTGGATTTAAGAAAATTCAACTTATTCTTATTTCACTGACGACTAGCAAAAACCCTTCTCTGCTCAGTGATTAGGAATGGTGCTTAAGGATAGATATAGATTATATTCCACATAGTTCTTGGACAGAAAGGAATCACTCCTAAAATAGTCAAGAGCAAGAAAGCATGGGCAGGCATTGAGAAGGGTTCTGCAGAGTGACGGCTCTGTGAATTTGTCATTCAGCAGGAAGTCTGTGTCTGCTATTCACTCTGCATCACGAGGTATTACAACACACCATCATTTCAAGCCTTGCCTAAAACCAACTTTGAAGAATTCTGAATGTCTCACCTAATATGAAACAGCATTATTAATATCGCATTTTTCACTTTCGTGGTTTATTAAAAAATGAAAAAGAAAAAATCTTCTTAAGAGTATGATAAACACATTACCCTCAGAAGCCCCATACAGGTTCACTATGAGTCGGAATGGACTCGGCGGCACTTAATAACAACAATGGGTAATACTGGGGAAAGCAGCGGTTCTGTAGGATAAACACTGGACTGCAAACCATGAGGTCTGCAGTTCGAGCCCACTCCACAGCATAAAGATGAGGCTTTCTGCTCCCTCAAAGATTTTGTGGCCTCAGAAACACTATTGAGGGTCACTATGAAGAAGTGCAGCCACAGTGCTCTTTGGAGGCCAGGATGGCCAAACTTCATCTCTCAAACTTTAGACATATTGTCAGGAGGGACCAGTCGCTGGAGAAGGATTTCATGTTTGGTAGGGTGGAGGGTCAGAGAAAAAGAGGAAGACCCCCAACAATATGGAGTGGCAAAGTAGCAGCATCAATGGGCTCAAGTGTGGCAACAATTGTGAGGCTGGCCCAGGATCGGGCAGTGTTTCATTCTGCTGTGCATAAGGTCGCTATAAGTCGGTACCGACTCAATGGCACCTAACAACAACAACAACAACAACAACCAGTCAGAACTGACGCAATGGCACTTAACAACATCAATGACTTTCTGAGAAAATTTCATTTTTATCTTTAACATTTTCCCTTTATAACACTCTATTGTTGTTGTGAAGTGGTGTCGAGTCAGTACCGACTCTAAAAGTCACGACTATACCACTGTTGTTATTGTTATTGTTAACTGCCATCGAGTAGGTTCCGACTCATAGGGATTCAGTATAGGGTTTCCAAGGAGTGGCTGGTGAGTTTGAACCACCAACCTTGTAGTTCAAACTGATCGTGTGGTACAGTGCTTTATCCCACAGCACTACACCAAGATTCCTGAATATATCATTACCATCACCAATTAGCACAAATACAATTTGGCTTTACATGTATTCTAAACAGCTTATTGAATAACCACAAAAAAACATGTTTTTGTTAAAAAAAAAGACTTCACTTTCTAAAAATCATAACCAACCAGTATCTGAGTCTGTCTTTCTAAATCCTAGAACAGAGAACAGCATTCTTGTCATTTCCTAATGTTATGTGGTCTCACTCTATCGTGACGGACAGAAGGGCAGTTCTTGGAACACACTAAGTCCATCTATACTGGAACGGCTCGTTTATCTGGTCATGTATGGAAGACAGAAGCTCCACAGAAATTACTTCTCCAAATAACTGAAGTACATGAAGTCCCGGTGTGGTGCTGTAGGATAAGCAGTGGACTACTAATCGCAAGGTCAGCGGTTCTAACCCTATCAGCTCCTCCTTGGAAATCCTATATAATTGGAAACTACTCAACAGCCTTAAATAACAACTATATTCAATGAAAAAGCATTTAAAATTTTTTCATAACTCACTGAAATCCTTTTTCTTTGTATATAGTTGTTTTTCACCTTAGAAAATAATGAATTGGTGCTGAAACTCTTCTGTAAGACTACTTGAAGCAAACCCAGGATTCCATTTCACATTAGTGAAGTCTACACCTTTTTTGTGAAAATAGTGCAGGACTGGGTGGTGCTTTGCTCAGTTTGTGGAAAAATGGAATTAAGAGATAATAAAAGATGTGAAGTCCCCTTGTACACAGGGTTGCTATGAGTCGGAATGGGCTCCATGGCACGTAACAACACCAACAGCAACACATCTTCATTGTATTACCTCTGCCTCCTTTTGTAGCATACTGTGAGATACAGCTACTCTAGAAAACAGAAAACACAATCCCCATTTTACATAAAATGGAATTGACACTTTCCAAGGTCAAGCAACTCGCGGAGGTCATAGACTAGTATGTGGAAGAGTTTACTCATTCCCAAGCCCGTCCTCCACCCGCTGACTTCTTAAACAAACAAATAACATAAAACATGTTTTCTTAAGGTAATACTATAAATCCCACCAGGGCTTAGGTGAGATTCCACAAGGTGGGCACAAACAAACAGAACCACATTACATCCGGAGTCAGGGGCACTGGGTTGTGGTTGTGACCGCTTTCACCTCTACAATTGTTTTAGAAGAGAAGTTTTGAATAATCTTCACTACTTCCTTTTGAGTGAATTAGGTCTATGACATGCAGAAGCGAACTTGTCATGTGACAAATCTAAAAATAAGTGTGCTACCATAGGCAGGGCTTGTACATTGTCCATCTAGGTGGAGCCCCAACAAGAAATGAAATGCTTTGTTCTTTAACAGGGATTACCTTGGTCTGCATCACAAATCCCTCAAAATAAGGAGCTCTTGGAAATTCCTGCCCAGGGCTGAAGTTGAACAGAGCTTGCTATGAATTCCCCAGGGCATCACTTGTTTTCCCCTTCATGTTGTTTTTAGTACAAATGCACAGTAAACAAACAAAGTTAGGAAGTATTTAAATAAACAGGAAATCTGTGTTGTAATGATAATTTTCATCATCCCAACAACTGTAAAACAAAGGGTTAGATTTGGAGTTTGTCCTCCACTTGAACTTCTGTTAATTTCCAAGGAAGTCTTAATTAAGCAGGACACTGGGTATCCGTCATGTAAATTACTGAGGCTCATATGTTTCTGACCAAAGTCTAAGAAAACTGAAAAGAAAGCACTACATGTGGTCATCTGAGAAGGTCCCTCCAACCAAGAGGAACCTGTTGAAAACATTCACACTCGTTTGAGAGAAAAGCCTGACTTGAAGCAAGATCCATGGCTAAGTTCAAGCCATCAGATTTTACACATGTAAATATAGTCTTCATTTAAGAAGACAACTGGGTGCCTTGCTGTACTGTAGTCAGGTCAGAAAACTAAAGGAGCCTACACTTTGTAACGTTGTTGTTAATAAGCATACTCCCTAATGAAATAAGATTGATGATCTCATTTAATTTTCTCAACAAGATGAGGAGGCAGATACTTTTACTTTATTATCCTCATTTTACATGTTAGAAAACTGAGACTTAGGGCAACTAAATAAATTATTTAATTTAATAGTAAGAGTAAGCACCAGGCTCGGGATTTGAACCTAGGTCTTTGTGACTACAAAGTTCATGTCCTTAAGGATATTTCAGCCCCTGTTTCTGCAAAAAATAATTAAAAGTGTTTTAAACTTATAGATAGCTCTAAAAGTGATGAAAGATGTCATTTCAAAAAGAAATTGATATTTATCAAATTATCTCCCCTTAACAGCAATGTAGCAAAATGGATTTTTAGAAATCCTATAATATAAATGAATCCAGTGAAATGAAGGTGAAATTGTATACATTGTAAGAAAAGGAAGAATTTTTGAAGAACTTATTTGTAAATGAATCTTAGGCTTAACTTTTCAGCATGGAAAAAAAAAAAAAAATCACCAAAGCCAAAGTTTTGGACATTTATTTTAAAAGTGATCCCTGCATCCCAAGTTTTCTACCCTACCAATCACAGCACTTACCTCTCTCTGAAAAAAATTCCAAGCATGAGTAAGCCACCGGTATCTTGGTAAGCCGTAATTGGTCATTCTCGCTTTCAAAGTGACCATATCTGACCACTGTACTGGCACCTAGAGATAAAAAGCATAAATCACAACACCAGCACATACACACACACACACACCCATACTCACATACTTACTCACACATACCTGAAATAGACTGCAACTTACAAATACTATTGAAAATCTATCTTATATCTAAATTATATTCGGGGTTACTAAATATTTACTGAACAATCTCTACATGCAGTGTTGATTCTAGATGATGAGGTACTTTGTACTAAGCAATATAATGAGAGATGATCACAGTGCCAATCACAAATTAAAGGAAATTCCAAAACAAGTAGGTACCCAGGCAGCCTACAGATAACACTGAGAAGCTACTCATTAACAAATGATTTCTTGGGAGAGATGGCCTTTGATTTGATTTCATTCATGCTATGATACTGTTCTTTGGAATGAGTAAATAACAGTACTAAAATAGAAGGAGAAAATCGACTAGAAAAAGAGTGTGGAGTCCTGGGGAGGCGCTGTGGGTTAATACACCACGCTGCAAAGCCGTTTGAACTGCAAGGTTGGTAGTGCAAACTCACCAGCTGCTCCTTGGAAACCCTATACAGGGTTGCTATGGGTCGGAATCAACTCAACGGCACTTAACAACAACAAGCTTAAGTCAAACCTCATTCTAGAGTACTTTTGTAAATACCTTTCAAAAATTGGATTTAGGAGGCATGGTAAAATGTTAGAACAGTTCTCAACTTTAAACTTCTTTGTGCTTCAGATTTCAAATCATGTAGTACCATGTCCATGCACATATTTAATCATGACAGACCTTCAGGTCTTCAGCAAATCATTTGTCCGGAAGTCTGATCAGCATACTATGCTGTTTCATCTACAGATATACAGTTCCTAGTCTCACCACATGTGCGGCATTAGAAGAGCTCTTGGGGAACTAGGCATGCATCATGGAGAAATAGTAAACCAGCTTAGTGAAACCACCCAAGCACTCAACAAGTGAAGTAAGGAACAAGAGGAAAAGGAGAAATGAGTAAATACAACTTAGCTAGAGATGGAGACTAAGACTGCTTTGAGATTTTATAGAAAGAGAGAGTATTAGCAAAATAAGTCCTGGCATCATCCTAGCAGGGTAAGCACTAGCCTGCTAAGAGTTAGGGCAGCAGTTCAAACCCACCAGTCATTCTTTGGGAGCCTTCTACAGGGTTGCTATGATGATACTTAACAACAGTGAGCAAAAGCAGTTGTTTTAAAAAGTCTGAACATAGAAAGTATTCATTTTTCCCCTATGTTCATTTTTCTTTGATGATTTGAAAATATACAGTGCCAAAGAAAACATCCAAGTTCAGAAAATTAATCAATGTTGAAGTTACTCACTATAAATTAATACATCTCACATCCATTAGGTATAAAATAAATTCCCTAGAATTTCACAATAAGAAACAAGTCATATTGACAGATTTTATCTAAAGAAGAAATCGTAAGTAGAAGGTGAGCATGTATAAACACGGAAATACAGGGGAAATAGACTGCCTGGTCTATTTTCAGTTATTAGAACAGTTGTTTTTATTTTACGTTCCAAAATAAAATATGGATTGGTTCCCTGTTGTGACCACAATTGATCTGAGACCAAAAATGGCAAGAAACAGGGGAGACCACTAAAGTTCTGGCATAAAATACTGGGATATGACCATAAAGTAGAACACACATTTATTAGCCAAAAGCACAAAGCCCATTCTATGTGAAAGCTGGGTTCTGCAAAATTTGGCAGATAATAAACTTTAATGGCACTTTTCATACACGCTGCTATTAGTGTAAAAGCAATAAAAAAAACCTGACAAACTTCTTTGCTAAAGGACGGTTCTGCACAGTACACATATGAACAGTCCATGGTTTATCCTCGTGACTTTACTGGGGCAGAATTACACAAACAAAACAGTGATAGATACAATCCATTTAAAAATCTACAGAAGGTAAATTCATTTCTAAAAACAAAGAATGATTTCTTCAAATAATTCAAAAGAGCACTATCAAAAGTTAAGATGAAGGGATTAAGAATTAATTGTAAGATTTACTATCTATCATGTGAATATTAGGAGATAAAGTTATTATCTGAAAATGCAAAACTTATCAAAGCAACCATTTTACATGTAACACATAGAAACTAAGCCCCTGGAACCTATGAAGTGGGTAGACACAGTGGCTGTAACAATGAGCTCACACACAACTGTGAAGATGGCAACACAGGCCAATGACACAGTGTTTTGCTCTGTGGTACCCAGTGCTTTCTGTGAGTAGGAACCAACTCAATGGAATCTAATAACAATAGCTGTACAAGGCTTCTAGGCATGAAGTGGACATGTGATTCTCCAAGACAGTAACAAAATTCCTATTTTAATGACACGTTTCGATTAGAAGAAAGTACTGTTTTATTTTATATTAAACTTGTTACAGTCTGCCATGATTTTTCCATTTCTGTTTACTAGAGAGAAAAATAATCATCAATTCTATCTTCTTACTGAGAGTTGTCATACTGTCAAAGCATGCATATTTTCACCAGGGGTCAGCTGTGTCAGGTGCCAAAGCATTGTTTACATGTAAATAGAAATAGGCAGAATAATAGCTGTGTGTCTAATTATGACTTTGCATTCAAAACACTCTCACCGGAGAGTAGCAGATTCACCACAGAATCTTTAACTGAATCAGTACTAGATAGAACTTGGATTTGATCATATGGCTGCCAAAAGCTCTCTTCTCACTGAAAATAAAAACCTTCCGGTTTTCTTAATGGTTTTCAAATTTTACCATGTAGAAGAGTCCCCTGGAAAACTTGCCACAAATTCAAGTGTCCAGTCTGCTCCCCCTTCTCCCATGGCCTTCCCCTCTATTCTGAATGAGCAGATCTGACTGCAGCATTACACTGCCCATACTTAAAAGAATGCCCCTGGATGTCTCCTCATGTATATAGTCCAAGGACCATGCATGGAAAAACACCTCTTAAGAAACACAATTGGAGTCCTGGTGTGGCGCCGTGTGTTAATGCGCCAGACTGCAAAGCCATTTGAACTGCAAGGTCGGTAGTTCAAGCTCACCAGCAGCTCCTTGGAAACCCTATACAGGGTTGCTATGGGTTGGAACCAACTCAACAGCACTTCACAACAACAACATGAAACACAATTACTCCATGATGTTTACATTGGAGAATTCTGGTATGGCCCCATAAAAACAGCCAACAGTCATGAACATTCAAAGGCGCCGGAGCTCACTGGTAATAAACGCACCAGTTAAATGAGTAAACATTAAGTAATAATACCCAATGCAAGCAAGGGCAAATGGTAAGTGCTAAGCCAAACTTGACTGGTAACTTCTGGAGACTGAGAAACTCTTATCCTTATTCATTTTAACATATGTATAAAGGCTGTTCCAGCAGCTTCAACAACTAAAATGCTCAAGAGTTGTTTCCAAGTACCAAGTCTCCAATTGTGAGAGTGCTTCTACACTGTGCCAGACATACAGCAAATCTTCAAACACACTCAAACTGGGAGACCTTTAGGCTTGTTGCAAACAGGAGACACCTGCTTTCTTGTGGTCCATCTACTGCAGTCAGCATTTTATAAGGCTTTCGTGTAGGTTTCAAGACCTGGCACACAGATCTCACTGCAAATGTGAACTCTTTCCTATTAGATATACACTCTAGTTGATAACACTCATTTTAACACATGCAGTATTTTTACTGTTATACACATGTTTTAAAACTCAGAATCAAAGACATAGGAAGGGGCTTCAAAAAGTTTATATGGTGGGGGGGACGATTATCTTTTTTTTTTTCTTAAATGTTTTATTGTGAGTTATATGATAGTTTACATGGGAGAACATTAGTTTTACATTCATTCTATCATATATCATTTCATTGCCATGGTTACAATCCCCACCCTGCATCATCAACCAACCAAAGGGTATACCCTGCAAGCCTGCCCCCTACGCTCCCCACCCCCCCCCCCCAGTCTTCAGCACACAGTCCCTCACCCTCTCTGGATCTAAAGTCCCCAGCTGCTCCATCGCTCCATGTCATCGTCTTTGCCTCCATCTTAGGCATCACTGCTTCTCTGGGTAGGGTCCCGCTCGACGATTTTCTTTTGATTTCATTTTTCCACAAACTTTTTGAAGTTCTCTCATATACCACAAATCCTATCACATGAACTGTTACAAAACATGCTTTGGAAATGTACTTTAGGTAGCATATACATAGGTAAGATTATTTTTCAGAAATATGGTGACAAATCATGTCATCATGGAAGTCCACTGCCACGGATCCATTCTGACTCATGCAATAAACATACAAAGGAATAATAAATAATATGTCTGCATGACTCCAAAGTAACAGATTTGGAAGGCAAAACTGGATATAGTCTTAGATTGTCTTTACTCCTGTTTTTAACTCACCACAATTTCCTGCTCATATGTCCAAACGCCACAAGCCAGTTCTACACAGAAGATGACAAGCAAACTTCCAAAGTACTGTAAGAGAACAGAAAGCATGCTGTTAGTAGAGAAATAACATAAAGCATTGTCATTACAGACAATCTAAATATTCTCATGAAAAAATAAACAGAGGCACATCTTCCCGAAGCTTCCTCAAGAACGTTGTTGTTGTTAAGTGCCACTGAGTTGGTTCCAACTCACAGTGACCCTGTATAGAGTTTCCGAGGAGTGGCTGGTTCAAACCGACCTTGCAGTCAAGTGCTTATCCTATAGTGCCACACCACGACTCCATAGATGGGGGGACTTTCAGAAAATTTAGAGACATCTGCAGACACCATTTAATACTCACTTAAATGGACCATTGTTTATTACACATCTTCTGTAACAAATCCTTTCATTAGATTAAACTAGAATGTATATGGTATGGTTTGATAAACTATAATTGAGTTCTCCAAACTGTGGGTGAGAAACTGAGGTTTTGGAAATTTCTATTTCCAAAGTGGATGAGGTAGAGTCAACAACTTCAAGGCTCTATTTATGCACAGATATTAATTCATCATTCTAGGCAATGGGACCGCCTTTCCATTATTAGAAAAGTATAACAAATAGTAAAATTTTAATTGCTTATCATGCTTTTATATATGTTGTTGTTGCTAAGAGTTGTTGAGTTGTATAGGGTTTCTGCAGAGCAGCTGGTGGGTTTGAACTGCTGACCTTGTGGTTCAGAGTCCAGTGCTAATTCTACAGCATCACACCAAAAGTCTGTATATATAGAGAGAGAGTGTGTGAGAGAGAGTGAGTCCTGGTGTAGGATAAATAAGCACTTAACCATAAGGTCAGCTTGAACCACAAGGTCCATGGTTCAAACTCTCCAGCCACTCCTTGGAAACCCTATAGAGAATTACTATGAGTTGGAACTGACTCACCGTCACTTCACAACAATGTGTATGTTGTGATTCAAACTGAGTTTGCAGTTCTGTGGATTAACCCACAACATGACACCAGGACTCCATATATGTGTATATATGTCAACTATCAACACTCATGGAAGCAGCAGTCAAGAATTCAAATGATTTCTCTATTGCATTACGCAAATCTGTTGCACAAGACGTTTTTAAAGTGTTGAAGAGCAAAGACAGCAGCTTCAGAACTAAGGTGCGACTGACTCAAGCCATGGTATTTTCAATCACCTCATATGCATGTGAAAGCTGGACAGTGAATAAGGAAGACCATAGAAGAATTGATGCTTTTGAGTTATGGTATTGGAAGAGAATATTGAAAGTGCCATGGGCTGCCAAAAGAACAAACAGATCTGTGTTGGAAGAAGTGCAGCCAGAGTGCTCCTTGGAAGCCAGGATGGTCAAACTTTGTCTCTCATGCTTCAGACATGTTGTCAAGAGGGACCAGTCGCTGGAGAAAGATATCATGTTTACTAAGGTGAATGTCACAGAAAAAGAGGAAGACCCCCAGCAAGATGGATTGGCAAAGTGGCAGCATCAATGGGCTCAAGTGTGGCAACAACTGTGAAGTTAGCCCAGGTCCAGGCAGTGTTTCATTCTGTTGTGCATAGGGTCGCTAAGAGTCAGTCCAACTCAATGGCACCTAACAACATATGTGTGTGTGTGTGTGTATACATGTATATATTATATATACATATATACATATGGTTGGAGTCCTGGTGTGGTACTGTAGGGTAAGCAGTGGATTGCAAGGTTTTTAAATAGCATATTATCTAAACATTGGAGTCCTGGTGTAGCACTGTGACATAAAGCACTGGATCAGAAGATCAGTTTGAACCACAAGGTGGGTGGTTCAAACTCATCAGCTGCTCTTGGAAACACTATACAGGGTCTCTATGAGTGCTCAGGAAGCATCCATCTTGCTGTAGTGGGTGGTCATGAAGAGGGATGGTAGAAGACCACAATTGAAGGGTAGATTGGAGCCAGGTTACAGAGAATTTTAAGTGAAAAGTCAATGGATTCTAAAAGTATACTGCAGGCAGTGAGGTGACATCTTTGTAATGTTTCTGAACAGGAACATCAACAGGTGACATCTTTGTAATGCTTCCTGAACAGGAACATCAACAAATGCTGAATGCAGATTAAATAAGGGCACGGTTCAATGTAGATTGTAAGGAAAAGGCCACAGTGAAGGCTCCCTTGTTACTGCGGACTTCCAGTGGATTTTTGACTCATAATGAAGCTGTGTGACAGAGAAGAATGCCCCATAGGGTTTCCTAGGCTTAACCTTTAGGAAAAGAGATCTCCAGATCTTTGTCCTGCAGAGCTACTCAGTCCTGCTAACTGAAGAGTACCTTTCTATTGTGCCAGCAAAGCTCCTTGAAGGATCTCTTAGAAAGCATCAAAGTGGAGACATTTAGCAAGGATCTGAACTTGGTTAGATGGTGCCTTTGCAAATATGTAAGAAAAAGAAGACAGATAAAAGAAAAACTGTCAAGACATTTTGACTGATTGGATCTAAGTACTGAGGAAGAAAGATACGTCTGGCTAAAATAAAGAAATTGAGAAAAGAAAACAGTCTTGTAATAAGGAAACATTCATTTTAGATGTGTTTTATAGAAAGAAATATTTATTAAACAAATAGAAATACAGATCTGGACCTCAGATACTAAGGAATATAAATGGAAATTATTAAAATGATGATAAGATGATTCCAAACAAAAAACATTCAACTATTTACCAGGTACTTTCATAACTATTAAGGAGCACTAGTGACACAGTGATTAAGCACTTGGTTGCTATTCAAAAAGTCAGTAGTGGTTTCCTTTAAGATTTACAGCCTCAGAAACCTGATGGGGCAGTTCTCCTCTGTCAATTCAATGACGATGGATTTGTAATTTTCATAATTAACGCTCTCCTGAACTTTGTGTAATGGATTGGACTAGCCTACAGGTGAAAGCTTAACACCAAAAGTAGATCATGTGATTTGCATAAGAATAATCATAATGTGTTTTGGCACATCCTGTGACTTTGTGCCACTTCCTTCCCACCCTCACAGGTGTGGAGGGAACTATACAATGGCAAGTAAAAAAAGGTGTGTCAAAGAATGGGATCTCTCAAAGTTTTCTTCACTAATTCCAGCAGGAATAAAACAATGTCTCTGTTCACACAAATCACCCAGTCCATTTGGGGTGCAGGATTGGGTGAAGAGAACCAGGTAGTGATGATAATCAATAACCTCTCTTTACTGGAGAAAAAGGTCCATGTTGGTGGTGATACTTGGTGCCATAAAGCTGGTTCCTACTCAGAGCAGCCCTATGTCCAACAAAACGAAGCACTGTCTGATTCTGCACCATCCTCACCATTGTATGCTTGAGCCCACTCTTGCTGCCTCTGTGTTAATCCACTTAGTTTTCACTAACACTCCATTTGACCAAGTATGATGTATTTCTCCAGGACCTGGTTCCTCCTGACAACACATCCAAAGAAGAAGAGATGAAGTCTCAACATCCTCACTTCTAAGGAACATTCTAGTTGTACTTCTTCCAAGACAGATTCATTAATTTCTCTGGCAGTCCACAGTACTTTCAATATTCTTCTTCAACAAAGGTTTTTGAGGACAAGCATCACATAGTAGGTGCTCAATGAATGTACACTAGATAAAACAATGCATGAAATCAAAGCAAGGGAGCCACCTTGGATTAGTTGATCAAGAAAGACCTCTTTAAGAAGGTGATGTTTAAGAAGAGTCAGCAATGACAAGGGGAGTCTATCCCATTAGGAGTCATGGAAAAGCAATGCAGGAAGATGAAACAGGAAGTGCAAGCAGCCTCACAAAGTGAGCTAGTGGATGAGTGGATGAGTAGAGGAAGCACAGGGAGATGATCATGACATTGAAAAGTACAAGAAGCCAGATCATGAAGAGGTTTATGGGCCAAGGAGAGAATTTTGAATACTACTCTAAGTGCAATAAAAATCCTTTGATAGGTGACGTGATCTTAACACATGTTATAGAAACAGGGATGTGGTTGTTTCGTAAAAAAACATTCTGTAGGAAAGCAAGGCTGTGATCAACAAAAAGATTGCACAACAGGATGATAGTCAAAAATGGAAAAAAGTAGACTGATTTAGGATTCTGAGTCATCCAGACTTGAACTTGCTTTGCTTGTAATTTTTGCAAAAAAATAAAAATGTTTAAATTTCTTTTATGGTCACCAGGTGGTATGAATGGCTTGCATTTGGCTGATGGGAAGTTTGTTGTTGTTGTTTTTGTTAGGTGCCATCAAGTCGGTACCAACTCATAATGACCTTATGCACAACAGAACGGAACACTGCCCAGTCCTGGGCCAACCTCACAATCACTACATTTGAGCCTACTGATGCTGCCACTTTACCAAACCATCACATTTAGGGTCTTTCTCTTTTTCTCCAACCCTCTATTTTATCACACACAATATCCTTCTCTCCAGCAACTGGTCCCTCCTGTCCAAAGTATAAGAGATAAAGTCTGGCCTCCAAGGAGCACTCTGGTTGTACTTCTTCCAACACAGACCTATTTGGTGTTTTGGCAGCCCGTGGCACTTTCAATATTCTTCTCCAACACCATAACTCAAATGCACAAATTCTTCGACAGTCTTCCTCCTTCACTTTCTAACTTTTGCATGCATATGAGGTTATTGAAAATACCATGGCTTGGGTCAGGAATACCTTAATTCTCAAACTGACAGCTTTGCTCTTCAACACTTTAAAGAGGTCTTGTGCAACAGATTTGCCCAATGCAATAATACATCATTTGATTTCTTGATTGCTGCTTCCATGAGCGTTGATGGTTGATCCGAGCAAAATGAAGTCTTTCACAACGTCAGTCTTTTTTCCATTTATATGCATGTTGTTTATTGGTCCAGTGGTGAGGAATTTTGTTTTCTTTACATTGAGGTCCAACTGAAACCAAAGACTGTGCTCTTTGATCTTCACAACTCACCTAGTGACACCACAGAACAAAAAGTCTGGCGAATTATTTCCACAAAACCCTTGTGAAGCAGGTCTACTCTAGCACACATGGGGTCGCCATGATTC